GCGGATGACGGGAGGCTCACTCTGTATGTCGAGACCCTTGGCCTTGTTCACGAGGGACACCATGTCTCGCGTCTGGTGGGCCGCTGCCCGGAAACGGACGAGCCCCCCCTTGGGCGTGCTGGGCGAGGGAGTGGGTTTGGGGGCTGTGCTCTCCAGCAGGTGGTCCAGATACTGGGATAGATCGTCACTCTCATCTGGGAGAAGCAGCAAGGAGTCAGAAACTGCTAAGGCACTCCCCCAGTACATGTCTTTTATCAGGAACCCATTTTCACAACTTGAAATGCCTTGTTGATGATTCACTTGTGAGTTTCTTCTTCACCGGTCAATCACATGGCAAGAAAAACTGCACATTTCCAATTGCCTAGATCTGTATTTCCACTGGACAGCAAAGTCCATAATAAATGAACTGGGACACAACCTAACCCTATCCTGCCCTCAATAATAGCATTAAACCCAAGGAATCCCTGTCCCTGGACAAGCAGTCTGTATGTTTCTGTGCTGCCAAAAGTTAAGAGCTAAGTTATACTAATGGGGAAAACCTCAGAGAATTCCCCCCCACAGCGTTCTCCGTTTAATTCTGTTTGTTTCTCACTCATCAGGTGTGGTACTGCAACAGAGGGATGTATTAAGCAAAACTAACAGTCTACACAAACCTCCAGCCCTTTTCCCTTTTTCAGCTTTGACGTTTTTAAAACAGGCTTTCAGACAGTTAGTACAGCTAATGACTGATGGGGAGAAAAACAAAATCACACAGGAGTCACATGGTCACTGAGTATGCAACAGCAGCGAAGCAAAATATGAGCTATCAGAGGTGCACTGAGTGTTTAACAGTTAAATCAACTGTATATGAAATGCTGTGGTAAAAGACAGAGCCTTCGCCTCAGGCTTTCACCCACAGGTGTCAATTCTAGAGTGTGAGCAGGCCCCTGGAAATCTCTCTATAAGCATGCTCCATAGATTAGATTAGATTCATAGATTAACAACTAATCATAGATTAATAACTCCAACGAATACGAACAAACACTATATTAATTCTGAGACTCAGAAAGGATTACAGCAGGAAAGTTGTCTGCGAGTGTTGTGTTAAAGCACAGGTACTGCCCACTCAGGGACAGCCACCACTAACAGGACAGTGCTCTCAGAGAGCTGGAACAGCCACAAGCTGCAGGCGTAAACTCAGCACGGGCGAGGCCACAGAAGCAAACAATCGGGCAATCTGAAGTTCACACCACGCAATGATGGCAAGGTTGTGAGGACAAAGAAGCCAGGGCGAGTTTAGGATGCCATTCTTGTAACAAAAGGACAAGATGGGAGTTAGCACCAGTATCTAGTTGGGGAAAAACAAAAACAGAAATGACCCACACCACTTACACGGCCACAAATTTTATGTTTTTGTTTTAGTAAAAGTCAATTTTTCCCCCTATAACTAAAAACTAAGGTTTGGTCATCAAGTTAATTTTTAACACAGCCTTATTAATATTTTTAATGCATTTTGATGGTTAGAACAGAGTCAGGTCTGGAGCTGCAGATTTTGGGATGGAATTCTACAACCTGTGCCTAGGACAAGTCTGTTTTGCTTGAAGATGTTTTACAAACAAGTATACGCTGCCTAATGTTGTGGATACATTGCTCAAAACTAAAATGTAAATGATTCCCGAAGTAAATAATGGTCTGTGCGAAAGGGTAATGAGTGTTTAAGTACAACTTTCAATATCTCTTATCTTTAAGGTAAGACATGGGCCTTCTTTAGAGTGCTTGGTCAGGCCACGTACAGTAGAGCTCTACAGCTGCCCTTTATCTGACCTTTTCAATTGAACCAGCCAGACCATGTCCAGAGTCCACACTAATATTTAACATTGACCAGATCATTCTGGGACAGGACATCAAACCAACCTTTTTGGTGATGGTACAGTAAAGAACTGGGCACAAATTCTGTAATTGGAATTTACAGAAAAAAGGTACTGAGTACTGAAGACACTGGTAACAGGGTTTAGGTAAGGGACTGTTAATTATTTGTCACTTCATATTATTTGTTTTTGTTATTTCTTTTATTTTTCTGCTATCCAAAAGACAAATTGTTCACTTGTACTGTGATCCATTCTTTGCACTAAGGAGAAAGGTTCCTGTATTGGTTAGCATTGGTTTAGGAAGTAGTCTTGTCCAGAGTGGGGTCTTTCAATTTATAATAAAAAGGTTTTCCTTTTTCAATATGGTAATCTTGCCTCATTTACATGTTTTAGATCTTTTTCATAGTTTTGTAAAAGGCTGGGCTCATGTACTAATAGTTCTATTATGTTAGTGTAAACAATTGAAGAAAACGTTGGGATTCTGTGATTCTGATAACAGTTGTCAATATTTATCCAGCTTTCAAGTTTGTTGACTTCTTAATTACTGTGCTCACTCTACCAGGAACAAAGAAATAATGTGCCTAGAGATAAAATTATGATCAAGGATCTGTAAGAGCGTACTGTTTCTTCTCTGGGGGAAGTCATAGGCCAAGAAAATAATAACAATGAACACACAGTTATTACCCTACTATAAGATGACAACCATGTCTGAATGGAAATGCATGTACATATATCACCTGTTTTAGGTTCCATGTACTGGCTTACTGAGTGTTCAGAATAAGATTCAAAAGACCAGTGTTCATCTCCAAAGGCTCCAGTCTATATCAGCAAACTGTTAACTCCCTACATACCTACTGTACATGCGATTTACTCTGCTGATTTAATTTGTGAATGCCTGTCTATTTTTTTATAGGTTTATTGTACAGTGCCTTAAGACAATGTATCGTGAAGCACTATGTAAAATAATTAAAAATTATCAAAATTATTCCCAGTAACCAGGGGATGCAGAGGTTTTGCACCTTGTTTTGGCCTAACGGCTGTGTTAATGGGACAGCTGTAAAAAACAGATGTGAAAATGCCCTTGATTGGTGTGCTTATCCTTACCATCATCTGCACAGTGAAAAGCATGCAGGGCGTCTGCTGAACGCAAGTCACTGCTGGGCTGCGTGACAAAGTCGCCGCTGTCGTCATTGGCGTCGCTAGAGTAAAGCGCCTTACCGACATGTTTGGGGTCCATGAAGCTGAGGTGAGCACAGCAGGACGTTGTCAGGAACTCTGACAACTTGCCTGTCTGAACCCTGTGGAAGAGCAGAGAACAGAGACTGTGTGTCTTTATATGCTCTCCTTACAAGGGGAAAATCTTAAATCATGCCATCTCTATAAATGTGTACCAGCATTCATGGAGCCATTTACTCTTAATCTGTTTAACACTACAGTAAAGATAATACTCTTTGACATGAATTACTAGTCCATGAAGGACTTCTGCCCAGCATCTGTACAGGAAAGTGTTTAATAGCAAAGCAATGTCTGCCATTAGATGCGTGTCCTTTCTAATAATGAGCTCCAGCTTGATATCCTTTCTCTCAACAGGATCTAAAGCCTGGAGTCCCTCTGACAAATGCCTCACCTACACTCTTCACTGTAGATTTGTTTTCTGCCTTGGCAAATCTTACCTTGCTCCTCCATAGTAGCCATCTTGGAGTTTTCTCAGAGTTGCCAAGACAGCAGGATCCAGATCTAACTGGTTTTCAGCTGCAAGATTTACACAAAAAAACAAAGATACATGACGGAGCTTAAGACAAAGAAAAAATGAGAGGTGTCCTCTCAGCCCTCCTAGATTGTGTGGTTGGTATTTGCTTAGTGACCTGAACATCTCATCAGACCATTTCCCGAAGGATGTCAAGGTCGATGTCAAGGTCAAAACAGCCATTCAGTTTGCTCCGGACTTCCATCTATCCCTCATGTAAAGAAGCACCTCCTGTTCTCATCATTAAAAAATGCTCTCACTTTCCGTCTCTGCCCTCCTATACAGAGAACTTATCACACATACTGTATCACAACACTCTGAGTGCCGTCCTACATATTGTACTGTATGCCCAGAGGTCAATTTTTCTAAAAGCTGTGAAGGGGCACCTTCACCACAGATGGAAGACCAGTTCAGGCCCTGCAAAAGCCTCTGTGCTATGTAGTTGCAAAGTCATTGCAGTATGAGACAGCTGCTCAAGAGGATGTGGTCAAGACAACATGCTTCGATGCAAAGATATCAGGAGGACAAAAGACAATCTGGCTTTAGAAGCAAGGGGGGCACACAGGCTGAATTGAGTACAGTAAATCAGTTCTGTGGGAGGGCTGTGGCTCAAGGCTTTGTAGAGGCATAAAAGATTGTCTGCTGCAGACACTACATGAGACTGTAGGACACTCGCCAGCATAGGCTGATTCAGGGACTCGGTCAGCAAGATAAAAAATAGAGAAGAGCTATGGTGCATAAATGAGGAAGCAGAGACCGATTTCCTTAATAATCACTTAGCGGGTAAGACAGCGAGTTAGCCAACAGGGCACGGAAAAAAAGGTGCCTTTAACGGTGAGAGAATTTAAACTTCACTGCCAGTCAGTGGATGACACGGGTAAGAGCTCATTCATGTCTGAATGTACAACTCAAACTCACCGTCTTACACTGCAGCCGGTCGCTGCAAAACGAACTAACGTGTCTACGTCAGGTCTCCCAAAAGATGCTGTGCTATGATGGGGGCACAAAACCATCTTTCAATTGACTGGGGTGCCTGGCTAATTCCTAGTGCATTCTTGGAAAATGTACGATAGCAGAAATCTCAGATCTTTTGGAAGAGCATAATGTCCTCTCCATGTCCTTGTGGAATTGCCCCTGAATGCTCTTCGTTAACTAAATCGTGTGAGGTCTAACAGGTCTAAACATAGCTTAAACATAATTAAAACCTGTGGTCCCCATAAAATAGATCAGAACAACAAGTACATTTAATGAAAAAGGCTGATCCCTTTTATTAACCGCATTAAACTGAACTTCCCAATTCAGATTGCACCTGCAGATACCGTGAACGGCTCCTGTCTCGTGATAACTGACAACTGTCCCAGTGCAAGGCACATACTGCACTGCTGATGGATTTATTAATTGCTTACACTTACATAGCGCTTTTCTGGACACTCCATTCAAAACGCTTTACAGGTAATGGGGACTCCCCTCCACCGCCACCAATGTGCAGCCCCACCTGGATGATGCGACGGCAGCCATAGTGCGCCAGAACGCTCACCACACACCAGCTATCAGTGGGGAGGAGGGCAGAGTAATGAAGCCAATTCATAGATGGGGATTATTAGGAGGCCATGATTGGTAAGGGCCAATGGGAAATTTGGCCAGTACGCCGGGATTACACCCCTACTCTTTTCGAGAAACGCCCTGGGATTTTTAAAGACTACAGAGAGTCAGGACCTCGGTCTTGCGTCTCATCCAAAGGACAGCGCCTGTTTACAGTTTAGTGTCCCCATCACTATATTGGGGCATTATTCATTTCTTATACAGCACTATGTAAATGACTAATTACACTTCTCTATGGTTGTATTTTGGATTTTAAATGTACTATATTTTAATGGCAAAATGCCACAGACAATGCAGTGTGATATCAGTTAACACAGGACCGAACAGCCACGAGGTGGCCACTCACTCAGCATGGTCTGTGAGATGGGCAAGGTGACGGTGGGCCGGCCAGTCATTCTCCAGCGGCAGCAGAGGTAGGAGAGGTCAGTGCGGAGCATCTCCACAATCATGCGGTTGTCCAGGGCAATGTAAAACTGCTGCTGGTCGATGAACTATGGGGCAGAGCACAGCACCGCACACAGGAGATAAAGACCTCGACCCAGGGTTGTCTCTGGTATCTCAAACACTCCCAGGGATTTACGTTTGCTGGTGAAACCAACACACTAATGTGCCTGAATAAGGCCGTACTGTCCAAGGCACAGAATACTTTATGCCATACACATGGCGAATGTCACTAAATATTCGTGCTAATATTTGCTAATGTAAAACAGCATTATTGACGGTCAGGTGGCCTCTCTGCTCCAGAAGATTCTCTGCGCTCACCTGAGGAGAGAAGGTGAAGATGGTGTTACGGATGATATAGAATTTGGAGGTTCCCAGCACGCCCATGCGACGATAGGGTCTGCCAGAGAGCCCCAGGCGCTGGTTACGACCTGAAAAACAGAGCAAGAGTCACCTGACATTCAACACCTGCTAGGCACTGTAACTACTGTATGGCAAAAAGATACAGTGACTCCTACTATTGTTACCTTTCCTCGTGTTACTTATAAGCCACCTTTGAAAAAAGAGCAAGTCTGGCAGTGTTTGGTTGATCCATCCATCTGCTAACCTCTCTGTCCAATACAGGGGAAGCAACAGACACAAAGCAGTTTTCACCCTGGATGGGACGCCAGTCCATCGCAGGGTACATGAAGACACAAACAGGCACACCGGGGCCAATTTCCCCCAAAGCCAATTAACCTATTGGTATGTTTTTGGACTGTGGGAAGAAACCAGAGCTCCCGGAGGAAACCTAAGCAAACACAGGAAGAACATACAAACTCCACCTAAACAGCATCCCAGGAACTGAACCCAGGGCCCCAGCATTTCGAGGCAAACCACTCCACCACCTGGGGAACCACTATGCTAACTGTGGAAGGTTCAGGATTGGTATTAATCATACCCAATCAACCCACTCCAAGCAAAATGGAACTGCCCAGTTTTCCCATAAAAATCCTATGGTCAGAGCTTAAATATCTGAAGTGCTTTGTTAGTTTCCATACGGTATACAAGACCAAGGCACTATGTGCTGGTATATTTGAGTCTGCTCACCTTAATGCTTAAGGTTATATGTCACGCAATGCTCTAAGCCACTCACAGCACAGAAAAGCCTCTTGAGAGCGGTTTGAACATGGAGAAAATGTGCAGAATTGTAATGCAAAGAGGAAACAACGGGGAAGAGCCTGGGAAAAATACAGCTCAGCTTTCGTAACAAGTGATGAGAACGACGCCCAAGCCGAGCCCAGGCCCCCCGCCTTACCCAGTCTTGCATAGATGTGACTCAGAGTCCTGGCAGGCTGCACTCGAATGGGGTAAACGTCAGCCACTGTCTCCACATTGAACCCGTGCTTCTGCAAGATGGCTTTAATCTCTTCTGTTTCAGCCAGGATGGAAACTACAAAGACACACAACCGGCACATCTTTCACCTGCCAGGCAGGCCTCATATGCATCTGAATCGGCGCTTTACCATGTTTTATTCCAATGATAAGATATACAGATTGCAGTGGCACTGTGGGTTAGTTAAACATTATACTAATAGTGCAATCTGAACATTTCTATTTCTAGCTTGTAACATCCAACTCAAACACTAAGAGCCTCGATTCGTTTAAAACAAAATCTCTTAAATTTGTTATTACAGATTTTATCACAGCAAAATACACTCAATTTCTTCTGTTTAATATGCCCTTAATACGCACTTGGGAGTATGTTCTCTACATGTGGTAGATCTGTGTCATATAAACACATTACCCAGAAGAAATACACGCTACCTCCAGCCCAAAGTGCAGCTTACACACTTGTGCACCCCATTAGTGAAGTTGCACTTGGCTTTAAGATTATGTAAAGTGAATTCGTTGTTTTCGGAAATTACCCTGAACCACCACGTCAGGCTTGGGGATGGTGGAGAACCTCCTGTTGAGCGGATCAATCTCTCCGGGGGCCAGGAATCCCTGCCAAGGCAGAGCAACAGAAAGAACCAGCAGTCAGAGCGCTGTCAGCTACAGAGGACGGAGGAGGGAGAAAGGATGGTCTGTTACCTCAGCCACCAGGTTCCCTATGATGTACAAGGACTGACCCCACATGAGAGGGAGCTTCCCCATGGGGACCCTGTCAACAGTGTGAGGGTTACAGTACTCCTCCTCCACCTGCAGGAACAGAGGTCGAGTTACTAGCACCAATCCTTTCTATCCGCTTTGACCTGCTACAGCCCTTTCGCTGCCTGTCCTGACCCAATCTGTTTCAGATGGAGATTTGTCATTCTATTCAGAATGAATCTCAACACAATGGAGGTCATTCTTGCGCATTCCCATTTAACACCAGCGTGAAAGATCAGGAACGGCCGCCTACAGCCAACTGGAATGCTTCTTCAGCTCTGGTCATGGACGAAGCATAAACTCACATCTTCTGGACTTCACTGAATCAGTTCCAAATCACAATCTGAAGCGCTCTGGCTCTTTAAAAAATAGCATTCCAAGCATTCTCATACTGCCCAAAGAGCTAATTAGACTACAACACACAACCAAGATCTCTGCAAAACCCACAAAACAAGGATACAGATATTGCAGGAGCACCTTAGGCCGCCAGAGTTCTGTAGAAGAAACCAATTAAAGACCTTCCGAGTGCTGTGCAGTACCAGACCAGTATAGCTGCTCATACTTAAAAGGGGCATGAAAATCTAAAGGACCAAAATAATGGTTGTTACTGGACAACCAGTAAAAGAGTCGTTGTTATTGTAGCGTTCCGGTTGCTAACCAGCCCTTTTGAATTTTATTGTTAAAGACCAAAGCTCAGGTATTTCCTCATAAGAAAAGGAATCCTGCTTACTTTTCGGTCTTAAAATGTGTGGTCTGGGATGCCCATTAGCTACTTGCATTCTTTCTGGGAAATTCCCCAATTGCTGTAAAGGGCAGAATCCTTACCCTGTCCGGAGGGACGCTGTAGAGTTCGGGCACAAGGCGGACTCCGTTCTTCCCTTTGATCAGAATCCCGTCCAGGGCGTCCCTGTACTCCTGCACCTGAGGGCCAAGAAAAAACACAATCTCCCATCAGAGCCGAACTGTTCCCATCTTCCCACACTGTACCCCGACCTGTTTTTACACAGCCCGGAGACTATGGTCACAATTCAAAAACCACGACTACGTTCATTACTATATTCCGCGCTTTGGCAACATGGAATATTTCAATAAGTTATCATTTTAGCTTTATTCTAGCAGTACTATTGGCTGTATCTTGACTAACTTACATAATAACGAATATCCTCTTTCATAAATTGTGTTTACGTTGCCTTAGGTAAAGTAAATTGACAAATACAGATTCTGAACTGGGGTGCCTCCTGTGTGAAATTGTTCTCCCTAGTTCTGTGTGTTTTACCTTCCACCTTCCAAACATATGCTGTGTTAATCAGTGTCTCTACTCTGTCCCTGTGTTGGGCCTACAGCAGCAGTGGGTGATACAAGGGTACTATGATGTAAAGGTGTTTACACTATGCTTTAAACATTCCCAGAAGGAAACTGTTGCTGTATGAAACTTGCCAAATGTAAAAAAAAATGTAGACTGTGCCCTCTCCTCAAAGTCGCCAGTAATTTTCAACTCCCATTTGTTTTTATCTGACATGAAATCCCACCCACTTCAGCTAGGCAACACTACTATCTCAATAGACTGAAAGTCTGGGCAATTAGCACTATGCATGACCTCACATGCCGATCAATTTTCATTTGCACTCTGACTGGCCCAAGAAATTAGGACAATTCTGAAACAGCCTAGATCGTGCAGACTGCTCTCCCATAACATGACTCTTCCGAGCTGTTCCTAAAGGCCACATTGTTCTTTGCTTATCTCTCAATTTTAAAAACTCATACTTGTGAAGTTCGCAAAAGGGAGCTACAGCTCTATTTAAGATCAACACTCTCACTAATGAAGTGATTTTATGCTTATGCAGTCAGTTACTTAAGTGTATCAATCAGTAAAGAACAATGTGAACATAATTATGCCAAATCCATGTAATCAATATCTAAAGTATTCGCAGCCAAATCCATAACTTCATTTTTTAACAATAATTTTATGTATTCTAAGACAACTGATGCACTTCTTGACTGGAGGTCTTCTGAAATCTTTAACACTGTAACTGAATTCTTTAACACATCCTGTAGAGAATATGATGGACATGTCTGCAAACCAAAGATGTTTAAGCCTTTGGACTCCTCTTCAGGGAAGTCTCTGGTAACTGCCCTTTCTGATATAATTAGAAAGTTAATTATAACATTCATAAGGACAGCTGATGCTCACCTGCTCAGGACTGTTAATAAAGATGCCATCCAGAATGAGGTAGGTCCAGAACAGGGGCCATTCACACTCAATGTTCTCAAACAGCTTCAGTTCTGCTGGTTCATAGTACAATCTGTTGGGATCCTGGAGAGAGAAGAGATTGGTAGGAAATCCATACGTTTGTGTATTTGTGTTGGCTCCATTGTATGCTTGGTGGTCTGTCACAGCCTGTTCATTGAAACTGCAGATTTTAATATGGCAAGTCTATGGCAAGAGCAGATATTTCTGTTTGTTTCCAATGTGCCCATCATACGGTTTCCCATTACCCTTCCACAGTTAGATCAGGAATGGAAAACTAGAGTTTTCAAAGGACAGGGATCTGTAGGTTTTTACAAGTTTTATTAATGGCTTTTAGTAACAATGACCTAGGATCTAGTTCCAAGAATTTTAAGTCAATAACCTATTTTGTTACTTGTCAAGTTGTGTATATGTCAGAATGGTTTCCTAAAAACTCTGACTAAAAGTCATTTTTAATTTTCAAATTTGATTGTTAGTAGCCCACATGTATTATCTACCCTTTTACTCATCCTTGTGAGTTGTCCTCACCTCTTTAGGAGTTTTGTGCCCATCTCTGAGGAACCGACAGCAACCATATCTGCCCTGTGGAGAAACATAAAGCCAGGCTCAGGACAAGCAGGATTTGAAGGCCCGAGAAAATGTCTATGATACTCTGTATTTTGGCTACATTAAAGGAACCACAACTATATTGCTGGTTATATCTCTACAACCTTTTTTAAATCATTAATTAAAAACAAGCTTTAAAAATAGCACTCATATGCCTGCAAACTACCATGTATTTTAGAGAGTGTGCACCAATGAGAAGGATTATTTAAATACTAAACTAACACTGATATCTGCTGTACATTCACAGAACAGGCATGCACCTGCCTACTAGAGCACAGATTTGCAACTCTGTGAGAAGCACATAATTATATGATGGGCTATTTCACATCAAACTATGATCAGCAATCTGATTTGGATATATCAATGTCCTCAAAGTGGTTTTACTGACATCAGGGAATTCGTAGCAGAACCCTGTTCTTCTGTCACAAAACAGGAACCTGTACTCATCTCTGAACAAATGATCTAAACAAACCTGCAGTTTGGAGATGATTTCCTCCTTGGTGATATTGACCAGCTGGACATCCTCCACTGCAAAGGCTGGGTAGGAGATGACCGAAAGCAGCCCAGCATCCACCTCCTTGGAAGTCGAAGCCCTTGGCAACATCGAGTGAAGAATAGACTAAAACCCAGAGAGAAGAAAACAAGTGGATTAACAACCCTCACCACCACCACATCTGACCCTGCACTGAGGAGATCAGCATTACCTTGCAGGCGATGTCCTGACATTTACAAGCAGCTGGGGAAAAACACAAGACCTTGTTGACATACTCCAGCTGTTCGGAAATCAAGTGTCTCATTTGCTCCTTTTCAGTGTTTTTAAAACATTTTTTAAAACTATAAAGCCAGCTGTTTTGTTACCAGCAGTGCTTTTCACACCTTGGCTCAGGAACCCAAGACCGCACACGGGAGAATGAGAACGAGCAACTGTCCTATCCGAGCCAGGTGACAGCCCTCGGACGCTTTCCTTTGCCATTAAAAACAGAAAAACTACATTTTCCAGGGCTAATATTCCTCCACAGATGTTCTGGTTTTAGGTCTTTGGCTCCCTCCCATACACCTCAGGCTGACTTTTGTCTAAGCACATTTCGCAAGAAACAAAGAGTTATGGGTGCAGGCCTCACCTGGCAGTGCTGAACCTCGTCTGACAAAACGTGCACAACTGATGCAGGACCCCCATTAGCGCCAAACAGGTTCAACTCATCTAAGGCCTCTAGTGCAGCCTGGTGACACACAGAAGGAACGGAAATAGAGAGTATTTCTGTGTTAAATAAAGGAAAAGGAAAGGTAGCAGGGCTTGTCTTTCCTAATAAACAGAGAAATTGGCACATTTCTAAAATATTAAAAAGTAAGCTAAAAACCTCAAGTCCACTAAAAAGGTTAAATATCAACAACCACAAGAGAAGTCTGTATAAGAAATTGTCTTCATTTGCAAAGCTGAGAAATGTGAATGTATTTACACTCATTTCAGAAACCCGATGGTTCTCATGGACCTCACGCTGCCATGTAACATATTGTTTTTTCCTCTCTGAAACGTCTTTTTTTCTACATGGATTTTTCTTTCCATGTTACAAGAGTGCCCTGATGCCATTACTGACATACTGTACTGAAAAAGTGAAAACCTCAGAAAAAAACGCCGCAAAAGAAAGGTTCTCGGGGAAATAATGGAGACATCCCGCACCTGCAATTCTGCCTTTTATGTGTGAATAAAAAAATTAGTTTTCTGCATCTCAAAATACAAATGAGATAAAACAACTGGTTGAGGGTTAAAATCAGACTGCTGTTCTTTAGGAGAGTGAAAGGATCACTCCGTTAATCCTGGCACTGACGAAGTTCACTGCAGCACCTGACAACCTGGACCTTATACGATCCTCAAACACAGCAGCGCTCTTCCAGGGGTAAATTCGGACAGCTAAGCCCTCCTGACAGAGGCACGTGGGCTCTATGGTTAACCAGTGCTGCATTCTCAGCTGCTCTCTGGTGGAACATCTTAATAAAACCAGTCACTGCCTAGTTAAAATGGGGATAGCTCATCACTTAAACAAGTATCCAAGGCCAGGCAGTGCTGTAGCACTTATGCTGAGGTAGAGGATCACAAGGGGACCATGGGAACTCTGTACTGCATAGCTGCAGCTGTCCAACAGCTCTATCATGACTTGGCTTTGCTAAGACTCCCCAGACAGTGCACCTTGGCCAAGCCAACAGAGCTGGCATTAAGCTCAGGGATCCCCTGGTTGGTCTTGTCACCTCTCTCCCACATGCCGTAGTCCTGCAAGACAAAAGAGATGGCAGAAATAGAAGGAAATGTCTACAAATACCACACAGGAAAGAAAGACAATGTATTCTGTTAGCAGAGTTAGAATATTTCTGCCTGTAAAGGCTTACCTGGATTTTCTACCACTTCAGTATTTCCACTAATTCCTGAAGCTTTTTTTCTAACTCTGTTAGGAGTCACCAGTACTGCAGGGCTACATCCATTGCCAAATCTCAGTTCTAGCCACCTTTCAACTACATCCCAGACTAATCAACCTAATTGCATTTTTGTCTTAATCACTTATGCATTTAAAGTTGAAGCCCTTACAAAGCTGTTTGAGTCTGTGAGGCTGGGTCACCTGAGGCTCTTATAAGACATTATTACTAAACATTCAAGACAATACACGTTTCCTTAAGGCAGAAAAAAGGAAACTTCTACAAACACACTTAAGTATTTCCACATGGCTCTGTGGCTAAGGATCTGCGCTTGTGGCTGGAAGGTTGCCGGTTCGTATCCCGCAGCCGGCAGAGGAATCCTACTCCGTTGGCCCCTGAGCAAGGCCCTTAACCCCAGCTGCTCCAGGGGCACCATGTAAATCGCTGACCCTGCACTCTGACCCCAAGCTTCTCTCCCTGTCTGTGTGTCTCATGGAGAGCAAGCTGGGATATGCGAAAATAAATTCCTAATACAAGAAATTGTATATGGCCAATAAAGTGATCTTATCTTATTAGTTTTCACTGGGAGAGCAGAAACATGTCCTGAACTACACAGAACCTACGCTGCAGAATACAGGTAGTGTTAAAAGCCAACTTCTGGTGTGGGCAGTCCATAACTACAGGACAAATTTCCAGTAAAAACTCAGCAGTTTTAAAAGTGTACTTACTGCAACTTTGTAAGCAGCTTCAATGTAGAACATGAGGTTCTGAACCACATCTACTTCATCCTGAGTGTAAATAATATGGAGACCTAAGAAAAAAAAAACAATCAAGAATTTTTAATAGAAGAGGTGGCCTTATGGATCTGACATCAATTAAATTCCCTACGAAGTGATCTTCTGTTACAATATTACCAATATTAATATCTGTACAATATTACCAGCCCTATTACGTTACGTATTTTCAATTATCAACCAGGGCACAATAGGGCACTACATAACCCCTGTGCTCAGGGGAAACCTGAGCTAGTGATCACTGCCATGTTATCGCTGCAATAAGGCCTACTGAGTATACCCGAGATAAATCATCAGTACCATGCTAGTGCTACAGCAATGCATACTGGGTATACCTGAGGCGATCATCTGTGCCAGGAAAAGCAGGTAAAGGGAGGTGGCATCAACCTGCAGATGCCCCCACTGGTCATCACCCACTACAGAGGCACAGGTGTGCAGATTGTACTTAGCATGGAGGCTGTCCTTAGGGCTCTGACTGTACTTGAACTTCTCCACCTTCGGCAGCTGTGAAAACAACAGGAGACATATTACTTTAAGCCCTGCTTCAAGAAAAATACTAAAACACTGAACTCCAAAACCTGAATTCTCTTTTAAACATCTTTTCGGCATTTCTACTTATTCTAACACTAGACAGTTCCTGTGATTTGCTCCCAGAAGTGAGATGTGAGAAACTTCTGCGCTCCAAGGTGAAAAATACAAAGTAACAGAACCACTCACAATTACCATGGTGAACATTCAGTGAGGATTACTTAAAAAGCAGCTTTGCAAACTAAATTTGAAGCATTTAATGAATATTTCTAACTGCTTTCCATCTTCCTTTTTCAACCAGATATACAGTAACATTTCAGTTTTTTAATGACTGTGCTGGATGAAATATCTACTGCAATCTGATTCTGCAGTGTGAAAAGGTTGCAGGGTAACTGCCGTTCAGCAACGACTTTCTTACTCAATTGCCCTTGAGTCTTGACGTGAGCCAAGAGACTTTCACAGCTGTTTCTTTTATTCACATCTTTCATATTAAGGTTCCCACTACTGAAATCAAGGTTACAGCTTTGAGCTGGCATGAGAATAACCGTTTGTCCATGAACCATTCAGGAGTGCTGGCTCTCAGATATAAGATTACCTAAGAACGTACTGAAAGAAGAGTTACAGACACATTCAGCCCATCTAGCCCGCTGGTACTTAGTAATTAATAGATCTCAACCAGTCACTAGATTGAAACCAGGGTATCGGCTTTAACAACATGGATGGGTAGCATGTTCCCAGCATTTTTAAGTGAGTCCTGTCCTCTGGTTTTTTAAAAGCACTTCACCTATTTTCCACTCGTGTCCTCCAGTTCATGTTTCACTGTTTGTTCTAAAGATGTTCAACCAGATCTCTGCTTACCGTGAACAGAAGACTGGCAGTCATTCACCTGTGTTTGCAGGAAGTAGCAACAGAATGGAAAAGCTAGTCCTCACAATAACATCATGACAAGTCTCCAGTTTGCTCCTCGTTACTTAGGTCTTTACCTGGAGCTTTTATTGACTTGTTTACTTACTTTAATTCTGGACAGTGGGTTTGTTTCTTACAGTGCTTGTAGGTTGAAGTTGGAATCTAATTTCTGATGTTCTGTATTAACATATGTGACCAGTAAGTCTCCAGATGGAGAAACGCAGCCCTAGTGGTAACAATGGGGCAGGATGACCATGAGTGTCTGGTAAGATCTTTGCCTGCAAACCCTGACAGAAGCAGCAGAAATCCTAAACCTGTGGTTTTCATCAACTGCGAGAAGAATATAAGGAAATCATATTATATATAAAGGAAATTTCATGGTGTTTTTTTAATGGAACTGTCCTTCAGACATAATGGCAAAGCTAACAATGGCTGAAATCTTTTTAGCCAACGAGAGCCTCACTCCAGAAGGCTGTTCCTATTATACTGGAACTGTGAGAATTACCACACAGGACACTTTCTGCAGAGTGCAGAGGTAATTACGGGGTAAAGAAGCCTTCAGACACTCAGTCCCTGAGCCTAATGGAAAAGCAAAGGGCCACTGCAGAGATAATCACTTCCCAACACTGAGATATCAAGATACACTCCACCATACTTCGCTGAACAATACCAGGGATTCAAACAAGCACACTTTCTGAGTAAAAATCAACAGAACAAAATGTGCTTTGTTTTTAAATGTTACACATTCTAAATTCTATTACTGAAACAGTGTAATTTCCTCATATTAACCACGCTTACCCTGTTTTGTTCATCAATCATGGTTTCAAACTCCCTTTCATAATTTGGACTCATTTGTTAGATTTCACTTCCTGCCAGAGGTGTATCCCCCACAAAACTGGGCTCCTGACGTTAGTGAGGGAATCGCAGCTCAGCACAAAAGGAGGCCAGAGTTCTTCTGGATTCAGTGTCATACCTGCCTCATCATGCACTGCAGCAGGCCTCTCATGAGCTTCACGACGCTCTGCGGGGGGGGGGAAACACACCGGTTAGCGACGACACCAGAGCTCCGAGTCAGCAGCCAGGCTCAACCCTGACCTTTTTCCTGCCCCCTGCAACCGAAACGCGACACCCCTCTGCGTGGCATTACTCAGCTACCCCTGCACCCTAGAACAGCAACAAGCAACAGACACACAGGGGCCCTCTCTCAGCCTGTGCTGAGACTGTGGAACGGAGTCCACAGTGATCGACTCGGAGTCAGGCAGGGTCAGGACATCCCAGCAGCCCAACAGGTGCAGAAGAGGACGCCGCCTGCCTGAAAGAAGATTCCTTTTTATCATGTCGCTCACAAACTCAGACCAAGCTTCAATGTCTGCAATCAAAACTCTGCATGAAAAATTAAAAGAAGGCAGTTAACACTACCAAAAGATAGTAACAGTTATTTAACTCCATGCATTACTCATATACCACACTTTATTCTTGCATATTTACATATTCCACTCCATAATATACAGTAAATCCATTCTGACTAGCCTAAAAAGTGAGAAACTATTCCGTTTGAAATATTACAACACAAGATATTAAAGACATTTCAGCAGATGCTCTGACAAATTTGTACAGGGCAAGCTACACCTGCATTTGAAAAGCATGGCAACAGATACTGAGCTCAACAGTGGGGTAGTAGTTCATACTGCTGCCTCACAGCTCCTGGGTCCTGGGTGTGATTCCAAACTTTGTGTGGAGTCTGCACATTCTCTGTGCGATAATGTAGATTTTCTCTAGGTGCTCTGGTTAGCTCCCAGATTCTCAAGTCATGCTGACAAGCTTAACTGAGGTTTCTAAATTGTCCATGTCTTCCCTCCATTAATCCAGTTTTAATACCTGCTTCTAGTCTGAGCCCAATGCTATGAAATCGACCCAAAACATAAATAAAATCAAGTCTACATGAGGTCGCTGTTTGCATTGCATTGTTTTTACCATTTTTCATGCAAACAGTATGATTAACTCTCAGTATTATTTTGAAAACAATAACTCATATTTTAAGTTTGGTTTGACTGGTCACTTGTTACATGTTAGCCATCTTTTTTTAAAAGTCACCACTTCTAGTCAGACATCACTGAATATCACCTGAGGCCCCCGAGTCCCTTCGACTACCCCTGAATGGACACAACACAAAAAAGTGTCTTTCGGACGAAGAATGGATAATGAGGGCATTGACCATTGTTATCTTGAAGAAACGTGAAGCTCGCCATAAAAAATTAACAAAGAAATGACAATACAAAATGAAGACATCGTGAACAAGATTAATTGTTTTAAACCCAAAGATATATAGTAAAAAAACAGCCATTTTGCATCTTTTAACAAATCACATTCCCCTGTCTGTCTCTTTCCCGTAGTTAATGATGACCTTGTTTAAAATTCATGCCTGCTGTACAGTGCACCCCCAAGGACCACTAGAATTAAAATTCAAATCAGTTCATTTTGGCTTTGGCCCAAATTCCATGTTTCCTCAGACCTCAGCCTTTTCAGCTCAGTATTCAATATGTGGCATGCTGACCTTGTATAAAGATGTATCTCCCTCCTTAACCCAAGAGGTGGGAAAAAGTGAAAAACTGTGTTGTGTATCCATCTTTCCTCAGGCCAAGATACATACTATTCATATGGTATTAAAAGTTAAATACATTTATATTCACCTGGACAGCATATCCAGAGCACCCAGCAAAATCACACACAAACAAAGGGAGAACATCCACAGAAAAGGTTCACCAGTTAAGTATCAGGACTCAGGCTGTTGGGCCCCAACACAAACTGGTACTCCAGCACGGTACTCTGTTGCGTTTTGTGTTTCTCATGTGTAATTCTAATGTATTTCACAATGTCACAGAAGGGTTTTCAACACACACACTACAACTGGTTCAGCGGGCCTCTAGCACAGACGCCTCACCTGCTCCAGCTCGTAGGCCTTGGCCTTGTCTTCGTCGCGGTCGGCATTCTTCCGGTAGGCCAGGCCCAAAGCCCACACCGCCAGGATGCTGTACACATTGTCCCTCACCCACGCATCCCTCTGCTCCTCGCTGGCTGGCAGGAGGCCCGTCACGGGATCCTGAAAGGGCAAGACGGCGGATCCCAGTCAGCAGGTCAGAAAGCCAAACCCAGCTCCGTCACTCTGTACTCCCAACACGGGGCACTCGTGGAAACGTGGGCTCTCCAGGCGGGTGTAGGCTCACTGTTTTTCTATCCTGGGCACTTCCACCCCAACAGATTGGGGTCCATCCTAAAGAAAGAGCGTTCAGCCTTCCACCACCCCAGGATTCAAACTCACATTAACCTTGAGCACAGCAGCAGATCCTGCAGTGTGGCAGAGCGACCACCGAAGAAGAAAAGCAAGCACTAATTCACCCTATTTCTCCAGCACTGGGGGATGTTACTCATACAGTTGGACATGTCAGACTACTTCAACTACAAACAATTAAAACCAACAGGTCGCCGGAGCGATAGCAGCACAGAAATTTCTTTCTGATAAATGACAGACCGGCCATGCACGTGAGATAGGGGAACAAATTGCTCTCCGGTGTACTACACGAATGCCGATATCGCTGGGCGCTGACTTGTGCGGGTCATCTGAGAACAGCTGTTGAAAGCTGCCACTGCTAATTGCTCAGCTTTATGTGTGCTGCACAACTTGATCAACAACAGAAAGGTCACATATTCAAACAGCCAGAAAGTTTATTTATATAAGAGTTTAACCTTTACTAAAGCTCAATCAAGATCATTCTTTTCTGCTCCACTGAATCACCACCTTTCCCCACTAATATACACACTGCTGCCCAGTGATATCCTAGTATGTGGAACGGTATCCTATAGCATCTGAGAATTTCTCCCAATTTACAGAGAAATGTAACAATTCAAAAGAAAACTAAAAGTTTGGCTGCTTGTTCCGTTACGATAAATGAACTAATAGTACAGGTCTGGGGCTGGCACCACAGACATGCCACCCTGCCAAGGCACACAACGGTGCCAGGAGACTCACAGCCACACTGAGCACTCCGGGAGTAAGCGGTTTTGGAGACCTGGCACAGTGCAGATAGATGTGGCCTGATTAGTTTCTTCCACCCCATCCTTCTATTCACTACTGTCCAAGACCCGCCCAGTTCCCGGCCTCCCCCTGCGTTTCCCACACTTTCAGAAGAAGGCCGAAAGAGGTGCTCTCAGCATTTTCCAGCTTCTTTTCAAGACACCACTCACCATAAATACATAAAAGTCTCAGTGGACTGTGTTCTACTGTGATATGGTCTAAAACACCATATGGATAATAGAAATTGCCCTCCCAAAATACAACAAACAGCTAGAACATAGACATGGACATGGCTCCCATATGGTCTGAAATACCTGCAGGCTATTACTACCTTTGAGACCGTGTGACTATGTCAGAGGAACTACTGAGGTCATCAAGCATGTGTCTACTCTGGAATAACACAGGCCACACACAGCATTTTTATTTTCAATCAACTGAGGTTGACTATTCGTTTCATACACCTTCAGCGATACAGAAAACAAGAAATTTAAAGTCATGCTCCTGACTTAAAGCACAGCCCAGGAACTGTCACTCCATATTAACTTACCTGGACAGTGTGGCCTCTGTGACATTCAGGCCCAAAATGTATCCATATAAATGACAACAATGCAGTACAGTATACTGTATATGGAAGACATGTTTGATTGGCAAAGCTAGAAACACTGCAGAATGAAATACCACATATTCCACAAGCCAGAACCAACACCGATTTCACAGACCTCAGGTCAAAGACACACACATGGCTGACAGAAAGGACAGGCCATGGGATACAAGAACACAAGAAGGATTACGAACAACAGCAGTCCACAGTTCAGTTCTTAGTCCACAGAGTAAACTTCAACAACATGGCTTGAGTTTGCTCCAGACCTCCACAACTCCCTGTGTAAAGAGCGACACCCTGTTTTCAGCCAATGCTTAACAAAGCTGAAGGCTTTCCACGCTCTAATTTAGTGGAAATTAAAACGAATCACGTCCAATGCGGAAACGCTGAAGTTGAGCATGTAAGTTTATAATATTGAGTTTTAAACGTTTACACTCCTAAAAACACATATTTAACAAAGCTGTTTTGCTTCCTACAAAAATGGGGAAAAAAACACATTTACTATCACACTTTGCTTTGCAGTAAATTCACTTTGTACGCGTCTTGCGTTTTTGCAACATTGTGGCAATGGACTGGCTATCATTGCTAATCTTCACCAAAAAACACAGTTGCATATGTGATTTCAGCTATTTCTCTATAGGTGAAATCGCACATATATCTTACTTTTAGAACTAATACATGAAAGTTCTTTTTTTGAGGCACAAAAATGCATGAGCTACGTAGACTCATCCCCTTCATACTTTACAATAGTTTCAAAATAAACTCTTGCACTGACGCTGCAGTTTCCGCGCAGGCTTAAGTGAAACACTGACTGCCCACCGAGGGAAATGACACTTAAAAATAGTTCCAAATTAAGCCAACAAAAATGGGTCTTAACAAATGCAACTAAACGAGATCGTATTTCGGAAATAAAGCGCTTTGTCACCAACGCAGCGCGGTACTCACCTGGTGACAGAGGATTGTCTGCTGCACCAGACGGGCGTAGTTATCGAGCTTCACCCCGGAATTACTACGGCTCCTCATGGCTGCCTGTCCCCACTCTCTTCAAATCGCAAACACCGTCATTTCTGCACAGCAGTTAAGTTTAAAAAGTGAACGTTTTCACAGCGCACACCATGACACAACAGCACCAGGAAAACACACTCCGGGAAGCAGCTAGCCTATCTTAGACATCATTACACGGATCAGTTTTCAAAGTTTATGAGAAGCAGAAGTCCAGAAAGCTCGGGGATAAGCAAGCTGTTCCAAATCTGCCCTTTCCTATAACTACGTGAAAAATGCGAAAGGTATATTCTGACTTACATGAACTGTGTTAAATCACCTGATGCTGTTTTTTCTTCGGTAAACGAAAACAAATGGTAGCACCCGAGTCAAGTTACAGCAAGACTCAGAAACCAGCGAAAGTTGCGATCGGGAACTCCAGTCACTCGGGTGCTCTAGTTCAGACGTGCCAGCGTTGTTTTACAAGACGTTTTCGAACAAGAGTTAAAAAAATAAAACAAAGTTAACGATTATGTGTACCCTTGCAGTAAAATAAACCCTATCTCCAGCTCTCTTCCTCCCCAGATACTCCATCCAAACAACTCACTCCGGACTGCGAAGTATCCTCAAATGCGTAACACACACAAACGAAAAGAAATTAGAATATCAACGGAAATAAAACAAGAAAAGGGTTGAGGCGTTCGTCGATATTTTTTACACCACTCTTAGCCATTTCTGATCCATTTTTGCCATCTGAAGGCGTTGTACGATCTTATATTGTTATGCCCCTGTCAGGACACCAAGCATTTCTTGCAGAAAGTAAACTAAACACGTGTTCCCGGTGCAAAGCATGTGGCTTCTCCACTGACAGACCAGCTGCGGGCGTGTTAGACCGAAATAGAGGTCCAGCGAATGTCACAGCGAGCTGGGTCATCTCTCCTGACCTAGTCCTAAAGTTGTTGATGCAGCAGATCTCAGAAATCCCTGTTCACCTATACTTTCTAAGCTTTTCTTAAGCATCTGCAAACAACTGGATGAGCTTTAAATCTTTCAACGGGGTTATGCTTTAGTGCCATGAAAACCCTTTTCTTTTTCGATTCGTTTATTGAAGCGACAGGTGCGTTTTATTATTCTATTCGTACATATTAAAGAGTATTGCGAAGACACGTTAAGTAGAAATACGTTCAAGCACAGTGCTCTCGTCTGAAGACTGAATCTTTCTGTATGTTTTTAAGTGGCTCAGGTCGGGTGAGGTTGAATTCAAGTGTTCGCGGTTCTGGAAAGTTACCGTGCAGTCCCGATGGTGAGGAGGAGCC